AAACATTTGATTATTGAATGTCATTAAAATTTGTAGAAAATAAATTCTTCTGAGAATTTTATTACAATTTCTTAAATAATTGAATTCATTAAAAGATATTTATGAAAATATTGAAAACAATTGAATTTTTTCGAAGAATAGATACTATTAAAGATTTTGACAATAATTGAATTCTTTCAAAAAATTTCTTTAATTTTTTTAATACTGTCGACTTTGTTATTGTATAATTAATAATTTTTGAACTATTAAATTAACTTTTAAATTTTATTAAAATTATTGATAACAAAAAATTTTATTTAACAATTTTATTAGAGTTTTTGTCAATAATAAAATTCTGTTGAAAAATTTCATTTAGTCTTTTTGAGTAAAATGTAATTTTTAAAATAATTTTAACTGGAAATTTTGAAAATACATAATAGATTTAAATAACGAATTTTTTTCCACTTTTTTAATTTATCGTGTCTTTTAATAATTATTATTAAAAATTTAATTTTTGATTTTTATTAAAATTTCTTAAAATAGTTGAATTCTTGAGAAGAACTTTATTATTTATTAAAATAATTTAACTTCTGCGAAGAATTTTACTATTTATAAAAGTAATTGAATTGTTTCGAAGAATTTATTAAAATTTCAGAAAATAATTGATTTCTTACGAAAAATGTTAAAATTGTTTAAAAATAATAGAATCCTTTTGTGAAATCTTAATAAAATTGTATTAAAAATACTTGAATTTCTGAAAAGAATTTTACTATTTATAGGTAAAAATAATTGAATTTTTTCGAAGAATGTTATTATTTATGAAAATAATTGAATTTTTGCAAAGAATTTTATTAAAAATTTTTGTAAATAATAAACAATAATAAGTAGTTATGTTACTTAACAAGTGAATTTTTTAAATTTTGAATCTGAAATTTAAAAAATTAAATTAAATTAAATTAAAAAAGAGACGTTCAAAAATCGAAGTTTACATTTGAAAATAAACAAATGTTTTGTTTGCATAATAATAATAAATTGAATATTATGTTTCGCGCGCTAAAGTGAAATATTATCAGTAATAATAATACTAATAAAAATAAGAAAAATAATAAATTTTTTATAAGGTGTTCGGTATTTTTATTATTCATTATTTTCGTTTGATCGTGGGAGAGTGAAGATAAATATATGTATAGGCAACTTGAAATATAGCATTGTTCTTTTCTGAAAAAAAAATTAGAAATATTCTACTGAAAGGTCAGGGTTTCCTGTAGGTATAGATAAAAGCAGGTGATTTTACGATTTTAAATTGCAGTCCCTGGGCGACATTTGTACACCTTTATTTTCCTTCTCTTCTCTCTGTCCATTTTCTCTCTTTGCAACATTGATTCATGAATGAAAAAACAAAATTCATGAATTCATGAAAAAAAATAAAGCAACTTTTTTTTCAATTTCAATGTACAATGTCATGTATGAAAAATATTTTTAAATTAAAAAAAATTGTTTCCATCAATTTTAACTCTTTGAAATATTTTTTGTGGTCATAACGAGAAGATTATTTAATTTTTTTCTTTCATCTTCTTCTTTATTATTTAATATTAAAAATTGAAATTTACGTACAAAAGTAGAACAATTTAAACTTAATCTTCTTTCTTTATTTAATTTCACTTGAAATTTTCGATTCGATTTTTTTTAATTTTCCTAAAGTTTTAAAATGTTTTAAATATTCAAGTGAAAGAATATTTTTTATCTATTTTAATATTTTGAGGTCTTAAAAATAATTAATAGTACCAACCTATTTTTTTTAGGGAAAAGTTTTAAAGAAAAGAAAATTGTGAGAAATGGTTTTTTATTTGTAAATTGCGAAAAGAATGGAAGATGGTAAGAGGAGAGTGAATATTGTTATAAGTAGAGAAGGTTTTGTTTAGTCAGACAAAGAGAAGAATAAAGTTGTCATGAATATTTTTCTTTTGAACTATGAGAATTATTTTTATGACAACCTACTTTTGTATATAATTTTTAATTAACTTTTACTTTGACTTTACTAGTTGGTTTGCTAATACACTTAATTCTTTTTTTTAAATATGTCGGGCACATTTTTAATTATAGCTCGTTTGCAGATTTTTTTTTAATCATAAATTTGATCATGTTTATATTTTATATTTATTAAGAAAAAAAATTTTTTTCTATTACGTAGATAAATTTACTTATTATTTATATTTATATTAAAGATTCAGAGATAATAAAAATTCATTTGAATAATTTTGTGGCCTATAGGTCACAAAATTTTTCAAAAACATCTTTTACTGAAGGGTTAAAATAAAGAATATATTTTATATTTAAACAAAAATTTTATAAACTTCTTTGAAAGTATTCAATTATTTTCATAAATAATAAACTTTTACAGGAATTCAATTATTTTAAACCCAATTTTCACATTTTTTTGAAAAAATCAATTATTTATTAGGATTTTTATAAAATTCTTTACAAGAATTCAATTATTTAAAAAAAATTAATAAAGTTCAATTATTTTTATAAATAATAAATTTCTTCTCAGGAATTCAATTATTTTTAATAAATTTAATAAAATTCGTTGCAAAAATTCAATTATTTTCATAAATAATAAAACAAATCTTAGAATTTCAATTATTTTTAATATAATTTTAAAGGAATTCTTCGAAAAATGGAATTATTATGAAAAATTTTATTAAAATTCTTCGAAAGAATTCAATTATTTAAAAAAAATTTTACATGATTTGTTTATTAGAATTTAATAATTATTTTAAATACATTTTTAATTTTTTAATTAATTAATTTTATCAAATTCAGTTATATTTATAAATAATAAAATTTTTCTCCAGAATTCAATTATTTTCAAACACAATTATCACAACATTTTAAAAAAAAAATCAATTTATCATTTAAAAAGGCTTTCAAAAAATTCCTTGCAAAAATTCAATAATTTAAAAAAAAATTAATCAGATTCAATTATATTTATAAATAATTAAATTTTTCTCAGGAATTCAATTATTTTTAAAAATTTGAATAAAATTATTTGCAAGAATTCAATTATTCTTATAAATAATAAAACTCTACGAAAGATTTAAATTATTTTTATAAATTTTAATAAAATTAATTGCAAGAATTCAATTATTTTTATAAATAATAAAACTCATTGCAGGTTTTCAATTATTTTTAATAAATTCCTCGAAAATTTCAATGATTTAAAAAAATTTTATTAAAATTCTTCGAAAGAATTCAATTATTTTAAAACACAATTTTCACAAAAATTTTTGAAAAAAATCAATTTTTTAAAAAGATTTTTATAAAATTCCTTACAAGAATTCAATTATTTAAAAAAAATTAATAAAATTCAATTATATTTATAGATAATTAAATTTTTCTTAGAAATTCAATTATTTTAAACAATTTGAATAAAATTCTTTGCAAGAATTCAATTATTCTTATAAATAATAAAACTCTTCGAAGGATTTCAATTATTTTTATAAAGTTTAATAAAATTCCTTGCAAGAATTCAATGATTTAAAAAAGATTAATCTAATTCAATTATATTTAGAAATAATAAATATTTTCTTTGAAAATCAATTATTTTTAAAAATTTGAATAGAATTCGTGGCAATAATTCAATTATTTTTATAAATAATAAAACTCTTCGAAGTAGGTATTTCAATTATTTTTATAAATGAATTCCTCGAAAAATTCAATTATTTTAAAAAGTTAAAATAAAATTCTTCGAAAGAATTTAATTATTTTAAAACACAAAATGTTTCGATAAAAATAAATTTTTTAAAAAGATTTTTATAATATTCTTAACCATGAGAATTCAATTACTTAAAAAAAATTTAATAAAATTCTTCACAAAAATTGAAATATTTTTATATTTTTAAAAATTTGAATAAAATTCGTTGCAAGAAATGAATTATTTTTATAAACAATAAAACTCATTGCAGGATTTCAATTATTTTTTTTTATGGAATTTTAAATAAATTTCTCGAAGTATGAAGTTATTCTTAAAATTTTTATTAGAATTCTTCGAAAAAATTTAATTGTTTTAAAAAATGTTGCCATAATTTGTTAATTAGAATTTAATAATTTTTTTCAATACATTTTTAATTAAATTTCTTTAAAGAATTGAATTATTTTTCAAAATTTTAATAATAGTTTTCTTCTTTTTGAAAAAAATTTGATAAAGTTCTTTAAAAGAATTTAATTTTAAGATATATTCAATAATTCAATAAATTATTTAAATATTTAGTAAATTCTTCCACAATTATTTAATAAATTAATTTTTTCGAAAAAATTTCGTTTTCTTTTTTTCTGCTTCTATTTTCTAACAGAAATTGATTGAAAATTGAATTTAAGTTAAAAATTTTAGAAGATAATTGAATATTAGAAGCGTTACAGTATTGAAGTGAAATCTTTAAAAATTTCAATTATTGTAAAACTAATAAAATATTAAAATTTTTATTTTAAAATAAAATGATAAAATTATTATTATGTACAAAGTCTGATGTTTTTAACTGTAAAAAAAAAATAAACGAAACGATTAATTTTTTAATAACATTAGATTATATTTACAGAAGGTCTTTACAATACATTTGGACAATACGAAAATAAATTATTTATAATTATTGTATGTGGCAGCACGTACAAGATATACTATATACCTTTGCAACTAAATATTAATTCCTTAAAATTTAAAAATTTGCATAAATTAAATTAAATAATATTATATTCTATTTAGAGACACTTTTTTTTGTTTTAGCGTACTTTTTTTTCTTCATACGTAACAATAATACCTACAGTCATGGATTTACACACTTCCCGAAGATAATTTTTTTTATGTACATATATTCACATCCACACAAAAAGAGGAGATATGCAATATTTTTTTTCTATATAAATTTCTATAAATCTTTTATCGTGAATTGAATACTTTGAATTTTTCCAATTACGTGATTTACATATTATTTAAAGTATTTTAGAGTTTAAGAGCATTGTTACAATTTTTATTTTATTTTTTTTTGAACTAGGACAGAAATATTTTTCTAATTAAAATTACTTTTTTTTGAATTTTAATTAGATTCAGAGCATTATTTGGTTGGAAATTATTTAATTATAGTTCAAGATTAGTCTATAGGTTTAATCACAAAATAGGACAAATTTAATTGTATCCAATTGTGGTATTAACACCGTTTTAAACTTTCTATTTGGATATGAGATCTTCGAGAATCACTTTTGTTTTTTTTTTTTAATTATGAACATTTTTTTTTCGAAAGTCTTACATTTTTTTTTTCATTTGAAAAATTCTAGAACAAAAATTTTTCTTTTTATATAAATTCAATTTATTCAATTTATTTTTTTGCTATTTTCTTACTTTGAAAATTTAGTTATTATTCTTCTTGGCTTTTTTTATGGAGTTTTCATTATGCAAGAGTATAAAATTGCTTCTTCTCGAAGGAGGAAGTTTAAATAATGATTTAACTTTCGTAATTTAAACAACAAGTGCGCAAAAGTGGAACGAATAAGATCTGCTACCCTCTTTTTAGTTATCTTTAGGTCATCGCAAAAGAAAACTTCATTTCTCAAGAGTGAAAAAAATTTCAAACGAAGTGAAATGATAAAAGTCGTTTTCTTTTCGTTTTGAAGATTTGTAAAATTGTCTTTTTCAGATCTTTTTCAGATCTTTTTCAAAAAATTTTTTTTCAAATTTTTTTCAATGCTAGTTTTCATTATTCAACTGATTACATCTATGAAATGAATATCGTAAATTTTGTGTATTTTTCTATTTCCTGTTTTTATCATTTGAACTTTTTTTCTGTTTCTAGATCTAAATAAGATAATCTAAAGTTTTCCGATATTTTTATTTTTCAATTACAATTTTTCTAATGATATCAAATTGTATTTTTTATAGGATATTTCTGAGCAGTGGATTTTTTTTATTTCTGGGGCAAAATAATATTTTTTTAATTAAAAAGAAATTTCTTTTTATTGAAAAAAAATTTATTTTTATGAAAAAATTTTTTTTACCATAAAAAGAGATTTAAAAATTTTTAAATATGAGTTGTACGATTCATCGCATTGTAATCTGGAAATATAATGAGATTCAAAAGTTCATCATTTGAATATTGTGATTTCTATAATATTTCGCTAGATAATTATTAATAATAATTAATAACTCTCGAGCAAAGTTTAATTGAAAGTTATTATTCACTGTAATACTATGTTCACATAAACATTGTTCGGTGTTATTTTGAGAGTTTGCTAATGTCATTACTTTAATCCTTGTTTTCGAAATTAAACCAACCCGTGTTGTAATTTTGAAAATTTCATGCGAAACATTGAAGTTAATTATGTAAATTAACTGCACACACATTGTTTTTCTATTTTGGTCGGTCTAATCGAGTGGAAATCTCTCTTTTGTCTTTTAATAGAAATTAAATCTTTATCAGAAAAGATTTTTCCTTTAGACTATTAAAAATTCTTCCCAAAGGTGAAATTGTTTTTTCTCAAGAAAATAAGAAAACAAATATTCTACAATATTGTTTTTCAAAAGCAATTCGAAGAGAAATAAACTCAAGAGCTCGCTCAAGAGAGAAAACAAATTGATTAAAAGGGATTTAAAGTTTTTCTCTTTAAAATTTATTTCATTGAGTTTTTTTTTCTTTGAAAAAAAGGAGATTTAAAAATCGGTCTTGTATTTGTTTGAGGATTTGTTTTTAAAACTGGAGGATTTGATTGATCCAATCTCTAAATTGTGAAATTCTCGTATAAACTCCTGGTTGACTTGGTTCGGCGCAACCAATTCCCCAACTAATCACACCTGCTAAGACCCATCGATTGTCACGAGTTCGTTGAATTGACATTGGTCCTCCACTGTCGCCCTGGAATAAAAAATTCTTTTGTTTATTTACTTCTTTTCTTTTTTTTTATTTCTTATTTTATTTATTTTTCCTATCAAAATTTTTGATATCAATTTGATTGAATTTGATTCAATTTGAACCTTCCAAGAAAATTGTACGTGAAATATTTATGCAACTTTTTTCCTAAAAATTTCTACTGTTTGTAATTTTTGAAACTCTTGAACCTTTTGAAACTTAAAAATCTTTTTCCAATATTTACTCAGAGTTTTTAAACTTGGAATTTTTTTTATACAACGAAGAAAATATAAAATAACTTTTACTTTCTATTATAAAATAAATTCTGCGAAAATAACGATTTTTAATAGCAAATTTTACTATTTTCACGCAGTTAATTTTTGTTAAAAATTTTTTTCAAATTTTCTTCGAATTTGTTAATTTGTTAATTCGAATTTGTTATCAAAAATTATTATTTCCAAAGTAAATTTTACTACTTTCGAAGTAAATTTTTATAATTTTTATAAAGAAATTTTCTTCGGAAATAGTTAAACTTATTCTGTACATAAAAATTTTTAATAGTAAATTTTACTATATTTTTAGAGGAAATTCAACAAAGTCCAAAGTAAAATATCCTAATTTTTATTAAAATTTGCTTTCTATACTATAAAATTTACTCTAGAAATTAATGATTTTCAATAGCAAATTTTTAATGATGGAAGAAAATTTTACTAATTTTTATTAAAATTTACTTCTATTTTAAAATTTACTATGGAAATAATAATTTTTAATAGCAAATTTTACTATTTTCAAAGTTAATTTTCGTTGAAAAGTTTTTAAAAATTTGTCTTCGAATGTAGTACAATTTGTTATTAAAAATTATTATTTCCAGAGTAAATTTTCCTAATTTTTATAAAGAAATTTTTTTTTTGACAACAGTAAAAGTTCTTCTGGAAATAATTTTTAACAGTAAATTTTACTATATTTTTAAGAAAGTCTGAAGTAAATTTTACTAATTTTTACTGAAATTTACTTCGATTTCAGTAAAATTCATGGAATTTTAAAACAAAATTAGCGTTTTTTAAAATTTTTTTTCCTAAGAAAAAAATTTTGATTTAATTTTAAAAAAATTGTAGACTACGAAAAAATAGTTAAGGGTTCAACAATCAGAGAAATGAGGAAAATATCAGTATTTCATTAAAAGTACTAGTATTTCATTAAAAGTACTAGAAAAATATCAAATTTTTAGAATTACTACAAAAATTCTAGTTTTTGATTCTTATTTATTATTCAAATAAAAATTAAATTAAAAACCTTGAACTTTCCTCGATTTTTTTTTACCTTAAAAAGTTTTAAATTACAATGAATTTTATAAGAATGCTTTAATTTTTTGTTGGTTCAGTAAATAATTCAATTTATTTTCAACAATTAAATTATAGAATTACATTTCTAAAGTTGTTAATTATAATTAACTTAGAAAAAATTTTAATTAAACAAAATAGCAATTTTTTAAAATTACTTGAATTTTAAAATAATTTTATTGAAGAATTATCAAATTAATTGAAATTTTTGTGAAATAAAATGGAAAAGAATGGAATTTGTACATAATTTCGTTTGAGATTTTAAAAAAAGAATTTCCAAAGATTTTTTATTTAATAATTAATAATTATTAATGAAGCGAAAGTGTAAAAAAAATTTTGGAAGTGAACAGTATACCTAGAAAACAATAAAATATTTATTTAAAAAAAATAAATAAATTATTAGTTGTAAATAACTTTATAAATTATAACTTATAAATTATAGTTTTATAAATTATTATATAGTAGTATTAATTATTATTTAGTATTAAGGGGCGTAATTTAGCAGAAATATTCAATAGAATAATTATTATTCTTTGTTTCTATTTTTTATTTTTTTGATGATAATAATTCTAATATAAAGTATTTTTTCTTTTGTTTCAGGTGAGTTAAGCAATATTTTCCCTGTCAAGTTTACTTCGTAAGTAAAGAAATATTTAAATATCGCAAATAATTATAATACATTATAACTATTATTATCAAAGGTATTCCTTTGAATTCTTTAAATTTAAATTTTGATTCGTTTATTTAAAAGTAAAATATCAGATCAACAGTATTTTTATACTGCCTTATTTGATAAAAAAATTATTTTTTGATTACTATTAATAGGAAAATTAAACCCTTTAGAAAAATTGAAAGAAAATATCGAAATTTATATTCGTTTTGCAAAATTTCTTTTCAAATATTTAAAAGCAAATTTAATTCAAATTTAAATTAAATTTTTTATCTAATATTACGTGAAAAAAAATCATTTAAATGTTTAATACATTTAAAAACGAGTGCTAAAAAATATTTTTGGGTGAAATTATTTTTGAAAATAAAATATTTTGTAATAAAAAAGAAATTCATGTTACCTCACAGGAGTCGAAACCTCCTTTCCTCCAGCCGGCACAAATGAAAATGTGAGGAATCCTTTCGATATAACCTGCCGCACCGTACATTGCTTCACACTGAGTGTTATTTATAACAGGTACTGAGACCTCCTGTAGTACCGACGGTAGAGGACCATCTGAAAAATAGAATTTTCGTTTCTATAAAACTTCAATAATTTTATTTATTATTATTTAAATTTTTTTTTTTTTTTTTTTTTTTTTTTTTTTATAGTGAAAAATTTAGTTTTTGAAAAAAATATTTTTTTTAAGCAACAATGTTGTTACCTTCATATAGTCTTCCCCATCCGGTAACGTAGGCAATGTGTCCCTCGTAACTCTCATCGTCGTCTGGTATACAAATTGGTAAAATATTTGGTTGGAATTGTTTAATTGGCTCATAGAAGCGTAAAAGTGCCAAATCATATTCAAACGTTCGCGAATCAAATTGAGGATGACTTGCTACCAATTGCACTCTTCTCTCTTGATATCCATAGGGTTCACCTTCACTCGCCAAATCGTATTCTCCTATTCGCAATAGTAGATCACTTGGAGGTACACTGAAAAAACGGATAAAAAATTTTATTACAAATCAATTAATTGAGTAATAAAATTACAATTTTTCTTTTTTTTTCTTTTTCCTTCTTTTTTTTTTAATAAAAATATTTTTCCTTCATTATTATCATATGGGAAGTTTTAATCATACAATTTTTTATTTTAAAAATTAATTGTTTATTTTTGATGAAAGACTTTAATATTTTAAACTAATTTCTTAAAAAATTAAAATTTAAAACTAAATTGTTCTTAAAATTAAAAACGAATTAAGTGGATAAATATATAAGAAACGAATTAAAAATTTAAAAAAACTAATACTTTTCTAGACATTAGTTTTTTTTATTTTAATTTAAAAAATTTCTAATTAATTTCGTCCTGAAAACGAAAACGAATTAAATAGATAAATATAAAATAAACGAATTATAACAATTTACAAATTAAATTCTTCTTAAAATTGAAAACGAATTAAATAGATAAATATAAAATAAATGGATTCAAAATTAAAATAAATAAATACTAAAATCTAGAAGGTATTATTTTGATTTTTAATTTTCCAATATTTTAAATATTTTAAATTAAATTCTTCGTAAAATTGAAAACGAATTAAATAGATAAATTATAAAATAAACGAATTAAAAATTAAAATAAAAAAACCTAATATTTAGAAGGTATTAGTTTCTTTTACGTTTTAATTTTTAATTCGTTTATGTTGTGAGAAGGTAAAAAATAAATTAAGGTACATTTTAATAGAATTTTCAATTTTGAATTTAAATATAGTAAACAGTAATTTTTAAATTTATTCTGCTAGAATAATTGTTGCATAAATTTGTAAAAGAAATAACAAAGGAACAAGGGATGATTATTATCAAGTCTGAGGCAATACATTATCATAATTTTCGCGAAAACTTACTTTGCTGAATATTCTTATAATCAAGATTCAAAGTATTATATCTCAACAGCTTAAAGAAAAAACTTTCCTTTCGCGTATCTCGTCTTTCATTTTTTTTCTTTTTTTTTTAATTTTCATATTATATAATATATCTATATTTTCATAACTATTCGTTAAATATTCATTTTTCTCATTCACTTTTTTCTCAGTATATAAACAAAATTTATAATGGAAAATATAATCGAAATAATTTTTCAAACTATTGGGAATTTTTAAATATGAAAAATAACACAAATTCGCATTTGAACAATTTTTTTCTTTAGTTAGATTTTTCTTAGTGTTTTTAGTTTTTTTAAGTTTTAGTTTTTAGTTTTAGTTCCATTTCATTAAATTTTAAATTCAATTTTAATTTTTTTAGAGAATAAAATTCATTAAATTAAATAGAAAAAATTTACATTTCAAGATTTGTTCTTTTTTTTTGCTTTTCTTAGTTTTTTTAATTTTTAGTTTCAGTTTCGCTTCAATTTTTAGTTCAATTTTAATTTTTGTTTAGAGAATAAAATTTTTTTAGAGAATAAAATTGATTAAATGAAATAGCAAAAATTTTCATTCCAAGAATTTTTGTCTCTTTTTAGCTTTTTTTAGTTTTTTTAATTTTTAGTTCTCAGTTTTAGTTTTAGTTAAATTTTTTTTTAATACTTAGTTCAATTTTAATTTTTTTTTAGAGAATAAAATTGATTAAATGAAAGAGAGCAAAAATTTTCATTCCAAGAATTTTTGTCTCTTTTTAACTTTTCTTAGTTTTTTAAAATTTTTAGTTCTCAATTTTAGTTTTAATTAATTTTTTTTTTAATTCTTAGTTTAATTTTAATTTTTTTCACAGAATAAAATTGATTTAATGAAATAGCAAAAATTTCCATTTCAACAACTAGTTAGTTTATTAGCTAGTTTTTTTAGTTATTTTAATTTTTAATCTTAGCTCTAGTTTTATTTTAATTTTTCAAATTTTAGTTCAATTGTAATTTTATTTTAGAGAATAAAATTGATTAAATGATTTTGCAGTAAATTTTGATAAGTATAAATGTGACTCACCTATCTATACAATGTGCTGCAGTGATGGCCCAATTTTCGTTGAGTAAAGCTGCACCACATTTGTGAAGGTACGTCGAAGTTCTCCATTGACGAAGCGAGATCTAATAAATAAATTAATAAATTAATAAATAAATATAACATTTTCCAAATTAACGAAATTTAGAATTAATTATTAATTAATGAATGAATTAACAATTGACTAACTTAATTATTTAAAAATAGTTATTTTAAGTCACCTTAATTAATAATAATTGAATTTAAAAATTGAAAAGCAAAAAAAAAACAGTTCCATTTTATCGATACTATTTCATTTGAAACCTGATAAATTATAATTTAAAAACCATAAAAAAACGAAGAGAGGAACAGTCTAAAAATAGGAGATAATATAAATATATGAATAAATTAAAAAAAAAAAATGATAATAATGAAAGAAAAATAAAAATGGAAAAAATATATATAATACAAGTAGCTCTTCCATATGACACATCCTTTTCAAGGACGATTTATTTATCGACATACACGTATTCTCCATTTTAATCTTCTGCTATATTGAGATAAAAAAAAATTTGAAACAGATTTGGTAAATACTTTAAGCTACCAGTTAATATCAATCGATGATAAGAACATGTCAAATGAGTGGGTAGCACACACGATTTTAAGTGATTCGTTTTTTTTTCTCTTTTCAAAACTTATAATTTTTATCGCCAACAAAGTAGAAAAGTAAATATTGCTTGCAATCTGGAATAAAAAAAAACTTTTCGTTTTTATTAATTTTTGTCCCTTGTGATAAGCAATAATCAGTGTCTTATCGAGCAAAGTCTAATTTACAATTTTGATGGCAATTATTCGGAAAAGTTTTCTGACCTATTGATCTGTAGGTGTTGACTATTGGACAATATTTATTTATTAATAAGGTTTAAATGATTTTTTGTTTGTTTGAATAAATTTTATTTGATTCAAATATACTATTTTTGGTTCAAATAAATTTTATTTGGTTTAAATCGATTTTCTTTGATTTAAATATTATTTTGTGGTTTAAATTTGGTTCAAATTAAGTTCAGTTGGTTCAAATAAATTTTCATTTGGTTCAGATAAACATTTTTCATTGAAATCAATTTTTTTTTGTTTCAAGTAAAAATTTTATTTTTTGTACAATATTTATTTATTAATAAGGTTCAGATAAATTCTTTTTGATTTAAATAATATTTTTTGGTTCAAATGAATTTTATTTAGTTCGAATAAATTTTAGTTGGCTCAGTGGAATTATTTTCAGTTTAATTAAATTTTAGTGGGTTCAAAAATAATATTTCTCAGTTCAAATTAATTTTAATTAGTTTAAATAAACTTAAATTTGTTTAAATAAATTTTAGTTGGTCCAAACAAGTTTTATTTGATTCAAATACAATTTTTTGCTTCAAATTAATTTTCTTGGTTCTAATAATTTCGTATTTGGTTCAAAGAAGTTACATTTAATTTAAAGACTATTTTTTGGTTCAAATTAATTTTATTTGGTTTAAAAACTTTTTAATTGGTTTAAATAAATTTTAGTTGGTTCAAAGAAGTTTTATTTGATTCAAATACAAGTTTTTGGTTCAAATGAATTTTATTTGGTTTAAATAAATTTTATTTTATTTTTAAATATTATTTTGTAGTTCAAATTTGGTTCAAATTAATTTCATTTGGTTCAAAAAGCTTTAAGTTGGTTCTACTACATTTTTATTTCGTTCAAAAAACTTTATGTTGGTTCAAATAAATTTTTAATTGGTTCAGAAAAACATTTTTTATTGAAATTATTGCTTTAAGTAAACAATTTTTTTTTACAATATTTATTTATTAATAAGGATCAGATAAATTCTTTTTGACTTAAATAATATTTTTTGGCTCAAATGAATTTTATTTGGTTTGAATAAATTTTATAGTTGGCTCAGTCGAATTTTATTAAGTTTAATTATACTTTAGTGGGTTCAAAAATAATATTTCTCAGTTCAAATTAATTTTAGTTAGTTTAAATAAACTTAAAGTTGGTTAAATAAATTTTAGTTGGTTCAAAGAAGTTTTATTTGTTTCAAATATAATTTTTTGGTTCCACTTAATTTTATTTGGTTCAAATGATTTTGTATTTGGTTCAAAGAAGTTTTATTTTATTTAAACAATTTTTTTGGTTTAAATTAACTTTATTTGGTTCAAAAAATGATTTTGTATTTGTTTCAATGAAGTTCTATTTGATTTAAAGACTTTTTTTGTTTAAATTAATTTTATTTGGTTTAAAAAATGATTTTGTATTTGTTTCAAAGAAGTTCTATTTGATTTAAAGACTATTTTTTGGTTCAAATCAATCTTATTTGGTTCATATTAATTATTTTTCGTTTAAATTTATTTTATTGGATTCAAAAAACTTTAAGTTAGTCAAAAATTAATTTAAATTGAGTATAATATATAAGATTTATTTGATTCAAATACAATTTTCTGCTTCAAATTAATTTTCTTAGTTCTAATAAATTTGTATTTTGTTCAAAAAAGTTATATTTAATTTAAAGACTATTTTTTGGTTCAAATTAATTTTACTTGGTTTAATTGATTTTGTATTTGGTTCAAAGAAGTTTTATTTGATTTAAAGACGTTTTTTTGGTTTAAATTAATTTTATTTGATTCAGAAAATGATTTTGTATATATTTCTTTCAAAGAAGTTCTATTTGATTTAAAGATTATTTTTTGATTCAAATCAATCTTATTTGGTTTATATTAATTATTTTTCGTACAAATTAATTTTATTTTATTCAAATATTGTTTTTTGGTTCCAAAGAATTTTATTTATGGTTCATATTTAGTTTAGTTGCTTGAAATTAATTTCATTTGATTCAAAAATCTTTAAGTTGGTCAAAAATTAATTTTAATTGAGTAATATAAGTTTTATTTGATTTTTATACTATTTTTGGGTTCAAATTAATTTTATTTAGTTAAAAAAACTTTAAGTTAATTCAAGTAAATTTTACTTGATTCAAATAATATTTTTTGGTGCAAATGAATTTTATTTGTTTGAAATTATTTTTAGTTGCTTAAAATTGAATTTTATTTCATTCAAGAGAATTTAAGTTGGTACAAATAAATTTTAGTTGATTCAAATAAATTTTAGTTGATTCAAATAAATTTTAGTTGATTCAAAGAAGTTTTATTTGATTCAAATAATATTTTTTGATTCAAATAATATTTTTTGATTCAAATAATATTTTTTGATTCAAATAATTTTTAGTTGATGCAAATAAACTTCTTTGATTGAAATCATTTTTTTTTTTTTGACCCAAGTAATAATTTTCATTCGTCAAGTATAATTTCCACTTGAAGCAAGATAAATAATTTCACGATTTATACTTTTTATTTATATTTTTCTCTTTGAGAAAAATATTTTCTTATTTAACTCAAATTATATTTGTTTCAAATAAAGTTTTTCGCAAACAAAATAAATATTTACAAATTTCAATTCTTTCTATTTCTAGTATAGTAGAATTTAAAAAAAAAATATCTAAATAAATTTTCTTCATTTAATCGTTCAAAATGTTGGGAAAATTTATAAATAATTTTGAAAGAAGAATAAATTTTTTCACAGTTTATCTTGTGAGCGCAAATTGTCTAGAAAAATTACACCATTTGACGATGAGTTTTGATTTGTTTTTCTTTCTTTTTTGCTTCCTTTAGAGATACTATAAAAGTATCTTTAGTCATCAACTCATCTAGTTGTGTCATTTAAAAGTGATCAGCAGTTTGAAAAATACCGAAATGAAAAACAAATGAAAATTGAAAATAAATTAGTGGAAATATTCATACCTGCCAGGGCCACTTGCCGAAGGTACTGCTATTGCCACCCACAATTCTTCCCTCTGGAATTAGCCGCCTACCACACACTGCAAGAATAAACATGGTCGAATTAATGCCCTTCAATAAATTCGCGTGTCTAGTAGCGGCAGCCATGTTGGTGAACAAGGCCACGCGGTTCTGTTCGCGTACTTTTATATACACCAATATATCTATATATGTATAAAACACTATATATATATATATATAGTTAATGTCGATCAGACTGGATGAACCGGTACCGTCTTTTCTCCTTTGTTTTATTTTTCTTTTTCTTTTTTCATTTTACTACCATGCTCCTTTGATCAGTTTTTATCTTCCCATTTTAATAGGTTTTTGCATTGTGTTTGCACATCTAATTGTTCTTCGTCATCTTCCCAATGAATGACTAACTCAAGTTTAATTCTTTTCTTTTTAATGCAAAATCAAACATGATAAATTTCATGATTACCAAAATGACTTGATTGAATTATCGGTTCGAATTACACGCTTTAATTTTCATGATTATTTCTCTATTTCTTTGTAAATTTCCTCTTAATATTTTTCACACTTATAGTGATGAGTTTTATGCAAATCGAGAAATATTGGTACTATAAATTTTGCCAAAGCTAGTATTTAATCGGTAATAAATTTGAGAAAATTAATTTTTCTCGGTATTATAATAAATTTTAATGATAATTGATAGTTTTTGTAATTTATGACACCAAGTGATATATTTATCTGGAGAGTTTTGTTAAATATTTTATTAGCTGATAAATGGTGATGAATTCTTTTATTGAATTGCGGAGAAAAAAAAGATGAGTCTTTAACCGTTTAGATATCTAATTTGGAAAATATGAAATTAAATTTTTGTATTTTTTTGCGACAACACTGAATTAAATGCAACGATTTTTTGACTTCTTTTGTATCTTTAATCGATTAAAGCAAATTTTTTCGATCCGAGGCCTTTTTTAAGCTTAAACCCGCAGATAATTAAAAGATTTAAAATCTTACTCTCAAGGCTAAAATTCAGTCAAAAATGTTTCTAATCTGAGCGGTTTTAGTCAAAAATGAATTGAAAGAAAAATTTATTTTTTACAGTGTAGTTTAGTAATTAGGTTTCAGTAATTAATTATTTTACTTTACACAAAAAAAGTGAATTAATTGCTCTACGGTAAATTTGAATTAAGTAAGAACAGACTTCGTACTCGATAATTAATTTTAAAAAAGTAGAAAAAAGTATCTTTAAGACTGAAAAAAGTAGTAAAAAAGTAGCTGTCAAAAAATTAAATTTGACGACTGAATTTTTTCATAATTTCTAAATTAAATTACATTCAAAAATAGAATATTTTTTTTTAAATAAATATTTAAATACCTATTTATTTTTCAACAGGAATTAAAATATTAAAAAAGATTTCAATTTAAAGCTTTTTTGAAATTTAACTATATTTCTAAAAATTACAACTATACTTCCATTATTCAATAAATTTATTGTTGACATTTTTAAATAAAATTTTTCAAAAATTTAATCATTTTATTTCAAAATAAAAATTTAAATATTATTACAGTTTTACAACAATTAAAATTTTCAAAGATTTCAATTCAAAAATCTTTAACACTATAACACTTCTAATATTCAATTATTATGTAAATTTTAATTAAATTTCAATTTTAAATCAATTTGCAGCAATTTCTACGAGAATTTAATTGTTTAAAAATACAAAAATAAATAATTTAATGAATAATTGAATATTTTTTAAAAATTAAATTCTTATAAAGAGTTTTATCAACATTTTTAGAGATAACTGAATTATTACGAAGAATTTCAATAAATATTTTTGTAAATAGTTTAATTTATTTAAGAAGTATAATTAAAAATGTATTGAAATTAATTATTTAATTCTAATAGAAAAATTATATCAAAATCTTCGAAAATCATTGAATTCTTGCAAAGAATTTTATTGAAATTGTATTGAAAAAATTCAATTCTAATAGAGAATTGCATCAAAATTATTTTGTATAATTTAATTCTTCTCAGGAATTTTATTAAAAATAATTCAATTATTATGAATAATTGTTCCAAATTTTTGAAAATAATTAAATTCTTGCAACGACTTTTACTAAAATTTTTAAAAATAATTGAAGAATTTTATAGAAAATTTTAAAAATTGTTGAAATCCTGCGATGAATTTTATTATTTATAAAAATAATTGAATTCTTATAACAAATTTTATTAAAAATTTAAAAAACAATTGAATTCCTAAGAAGAATTATATTATTTACAGAAATAATTGAATTCTAGAATGGAAAAATTTTATAAAAATTTTAAGAATAATTGAATTCTTGCGAAAAATATTATTAAAATTTTTAAAAATAATTGAATTCTTGAGAAGAATTTTAAAATTTTTTTTTAGAATAATTGAATTTTTGCGAAGAATATTATTGAAATTTTAAAAAATAATTGAATTCTTGAGAAGAATTTTATAAAAATTTTAAGAATAATTGAATTTTTGCGATGAATTTTATAAAAATCTTTTTAAATAATTGAATTCCTGAGAAGAATTATATTATTTACCCAAATAATTGAATTCTTGAGAAGAATTTTATAAAAATTTTAATAATTGAATTTTTGCGAAGAATTTTATAAAAATCTTTTTAAATAATTGATTTTCTCCGAAAAATTTTGTGAAATTTTGTGAAAATTGTGTCTTAAAAAAATTGAATTTCTGCGAAAATTTTATTATTTATGAAAATAAATGAATGTTTACAAAGAATTATATAAATTTTTTTTTTTTAAATAATTGAATTCTTTCGAGAAAGAAAAAAAGAATTTTTTTATTAAAACAGTAGACATTAAAATTAATTGAATTTTGAAAATGTTTTGAAAATAATTGAATCGATTAGAAGAAATTTAATAATATTTGTTTCCATGAATCCTATTAAAATTTTTGAAAAAAATTAAATCCTTTCAAGAAATTTAATTACAAATTTTTCAAAATAATTATTAAGTTCTAAGAAATACATTTTATGAAAATTTTTTTAAATACCTTATTGAATTCTTGATAAGAATTTTATAAAATCCTTTTTAAATAATTAATTTTTTTCAAAAAATTTTGTGAAAATTGTGCACAAGAAAAAAATTCAAAAAGGGAAAGCATAATAAAGTCGCAAAGCTTTTTTTTGAAGAAACAAATGATAATAAATTTTTAATGAATATTAATTATTAATAATATTTAAATATTTTTAGTGTCACAAATCGAAAAAAGTATCCAAATAGTAGCAAATCGTAAAAAAAGTAATAAATTAAATAGTAGATTTTAGTAGATGAGTACGAAGCCTCGGAGAAAGATATTTTAAAAATTTATCTTTCCCCGATTTATTTGCAATTTTGCAGGTTAATTAAAAATCAGGTTAATTAATTAATTATTTAATTATCGAAGTTTATATGTATTTTGCTCTCATAATGGCACCGGTAGTGTTATAGTTAAATCGCATTTTTGTGGCGAATACCTGACAAGTTGAAATAAAACAAAATTTACGATCCATTAAGAGCTGTAAAATTGAAAACGTTCGATAAAATCACAGCGGAAGAAAAAATATTGATAAATTCATACATATTTTTAAACGTTCGAAAAAAATATGCTTTTAATGTTATTTCTCTGTTTGAAAAAAAAATTGTGATAAAAATAATAAAAATCAGGCGTTATTTATTTTAGTTGGAAAATCGTTTGTTATGCTACTTTAAAGCATTTTTTTATTTATCGTACTTTATCAATATTTATATTTTTTATTTTATCAATGTTAGTTGTTAATATATCGCGCTGAGATTTTATCAATTTTTTTTTTCAAATGTTAGTTGTCAGTTTCGAAAGGGTTGAATTTTCCTAATTGGGAAAAAAAAGAAGAAAAATTTTACAAACCTTGCTTGTAATCAGACATGTTGATTGGTGGTATGGTAGATTGAGATGTCTCGGTAGATACAGTGACAGTAGCAATTGAAGATAATGTTGTAGGTATCACTGGTCTAGTCGTGATAAAAGTGTCAGCAGTTGGAATTTCCGTTATGGGTTTAGCTGAAAATCCATGCTAGGCGTTAATTAACGAGCCACCAAAGTGGTTACTTAAAACCACCAACCACTTCCCGCTGTTTTAACACTTACAGTAGTAAACTTTGGGGTTTTATGAGCGACTTTATGGAGAAAATTGTGTGCTTGCAATAGATTAAAAGTGTAATTTAAACTCGAAATTGAGATAAAAGAGTATTTCTTACTTTAGGCAATGTCGTATCTTTAAAAGTATATATAAACTCCGCGTCGAAACAAAAAGATAAAAAGTTTATACATTAATTAAAAATATTTAATGTTTGAGGAAAAAATTGAAATTTTTCTTGTTGATTGCAATTATAAGAAGTGTGCTTATAATTATGGAAAATTATTTATAAGCATAAAGAGATTATTTACAATTATAAACAAAATGTTTATGATTATAAAAAGCAGACCCTAAATATGTGAATTAACATTTAAAGAATTAAAATTTTGTTGTATTGCTTCTTAGAAATTTTTAAAAACGATTCGACTTTAATCTAATTTGTTTATATGGAAATTTGGACTTTTTAACAAATAAAATTTTCAGAATGGTGCGCTCGTGTAAAAATATTTAATTATTTAAATGTTGATTACAACTAAAACTAGAAATATTAATGAAATAGTAATAATTTATTTGATTCTAACGCCCACAATTTTTGCTCCCTTGAAGTTTTGCCTCATTAATAATTTCTAAATGAGACAGAAAGATCTGCTACTTACAAGTGGTGAATGGAGTCTCAGTTGTTGTTGCAATTGGTTTAGGGGAAGTTGTACTGGCTTCTATTTTTTCTGTAGAGGGGGAATTGATAATTATCCATCCGTCAGGTTTTGTTATTGGAGCCCAATCTGTTTGTGTTGGTTCTAAAAAAATTTATAAATTAACGCTCAGTTATCTTAATTAATAGGGTAGAGGGCCCCAAGGTGCCCACCCTAGGAAAATTCTTATTTATAAAAAACAGAGTTTCACCAATACCGATTAAAAGTTAATTAATGATTAAATCCTCTATTTACCAATCATGCTTTAATTATTAATTAATTTTTAATTGAGGTTTGTGGAATTAGCCCTTAAATTAAAATTAATTACTATCAATTAATAAACAATGTCTACCTTCGGTAGTGGAAGAAACTTCCTGAATTTTAATTGTAGTGGTTTCATCTAAATTCGATGTCCACGTAACCAAACCAGGTGGATAAGTCGTTAACGGTGTTTCATCATCTGGTTTCTTTGGTGTCGAAATGGGAATACTCGAGGTAGAGGCATTGAAGGGAATGTAAATATTTGATTCGGTTGATGTTACAGGAACAGGTATTTTTGATGGCGAAACTTGAATTGTGGAAATAATCGATGGTGTAGTGGATTTAATTCCACTTTGAGTAATACTGGAGATTGGCAGCTTAATTTTATCAGTGGTGGTAGTGGTTGTTGGCTTTGATGAACTTCTGATAGTCGTGGTGCTCGTAGTCACTGTAGTTCCGGTTGTTGAACTAGGCTTTACTAAACCAGGTTTTGTCGAACTGGTCTTTGTAGGTTTGCTTGCAGGTTTTGTTTTAGTGGTTGTGGTTGTTGGTCTTGGTGTTGTTGTTTTGGACGGTGTCTGTAATTATAGATATCAAATAATTGAAATGTACCCTCAATATTACTAGTTTTTTGAAATTGTTCTTTTTTACTAGTGTTTTTTTTAATGAGTATAGTCGTAGTACTTTTTGAACTCTTTTTTCAGACTTGTCGGATTTTATTCTGTTGTGATTATTAATATTATTATTCTTATTAATACTATTACTATCACTATTATTATTATTAGTACTATACATTAGTACTATACATCTAATACTATTAGTATTAGATGTTTTGATTCTTCTGAAGAAGAATCAAAACATCTTTTATTTATATAATTTTATGGCTTCCAAAAATATTGAATTATTAGAATTATTGTTACAATAGAACCCTGATTTTGTGGACTAATTCAGACAGGACCTGGTCCGGATAACCGAAAGTTCAGATAACCTAAAGTTAGAATAACCGGAAGTTCGAATAACCTGAACTTCAGATATCCGAACTTTAGATTATCCGAAGTTATAAGTCCGCAGTTCGAATAAGTCAAAGTCGACTTAGCATAAAAGATGAACTTGTAGAATTTAAAAGCAAAGGTGCATTTAATTAAAGAATCTTAACTTTACTCACTTTGTCAATAATGGGTTTTTTCGTCGAGGGTTTATAACCACCGAATGGTATTGTTTCGGTTGCAGTTGGTTCGGTAACCGGAACTTTGGTACTGGTAGCAAATGGTCTTGTGGGTTTTGTTGGTTTTGATGGTTTTGTCACTGAAACTGGTTTTACAGTTTCGCTTTGCGTTGAGGGTCTCGTGATTGTAGGCCTCTTGGCAGGTACCGTTGGTTTTTTAACAGTAGTATTGGCAATCGTGGGCTTTTTCGTCACTGAACTCAAAGTAGGTTTCTTGATTGTTGTCGAGGTTGGAACAGTTTTTCGAGTTGTTGTCGTTACAGGTTTGATGGTCGTTGCATTTCTAGGGGGGAATCTGGTAGATGGGGTTTTTGTTGGGAATGTTGTTGGATATGTTGGGTACGTTGATGGATATGTTAGGGGTTTTATAGTTGTTGGTTCTAGCTTTGCAGTTGTTGCTGCTGCTGAATCACTAGTTGGGGTTGGGTAACTGGTAGAATTCTTAATTAACGGGGGATGAGTTATAGGGGGCTTTTGAGAAGTGGTTGAGATCGGAGTTGATGAAGTCAGTAATGACGATGGTAGCATGGATGGTAGACTTGAGGTTGAACCCATGGTTAATGGCCAATTGTTTGTGGATAGAGAACCGACTGGATGGAACGGTGAAGAACCGAACGTTGTTGGGAAACCGAGTGTTGTTGGATAGTTATCGTCAGAAGTAGAAATTGAAGAATGGGCCGAACTCGAAGAGGGCCAGGATTGGGAACTAGCAGGAAAACCGGAAGAAGAACCATCGGGGGAATTAGAGGAGGGACTAGCAGGAAAACCAGAAGAGGAACTAGGAGGAAGACTAGAAAATGCACTAGAACTAGAGGGGAAACTAGAACTAGAAGAACCGGATGATGGGACTGTAGGGGGACGTCTCGAAGGGGTAATTGTACTAATTGTTGAAGGAGAAGCAGATGGTTTACTAGAACCAAATGGCTTTTCGTTTATTGGTTTTCTAGTGAGGAACGGTTTGCCGGTGCTTGGATTCGTGGTATTGAAAGGCTTTCCAGTATTGGATGGTTTGCCACTACTGGTTGGCTTACCAGTGCTGAAAGGTTTACTAGTGCTGGACGGTTTGCCACTAGTGGAAGGTTTACCACTGCTAGAGGGTTTACTGCTAGAGGGTTTACTACTAAAGGATGGTTTACCACTACTGGAAGGTTTATCGCTACTGGTGGGTTTACCAGTAGTGAATGGTTTGCCTGTACTGGAAGGTTTACCAGAACTGAAAGGTTTGCCAGTACTCGAAGGGTATCTACTACTGTCGAAAGTAGATTCTTGATTGGCACCAACAGTTGGTCGATTTTGAGCAACTTCGGTAGAAGCATCTTGCACTGATTGGAAGGTGAAGAACCCAATTGACTCCGTTGTTGTCTGTGCTAAAGGTTTCTTGGATGTTGTTCTGTACGGTTTCGTGACGATCGTCTCCGCAGTTTTTGAAGTCGTACTCTCCATTTTTTGAGTACTGTACCCGGAGAGTGGTGGCCTCTTCTCTAAAATTGGCTTCGGTTTCGTAAAGTATGGAGGAATCTCATTACTTTCGATAGAAGTGGTCGTTGTCGTTAGTAGAGGTTTAGAAAGAGACACGGGACCATCTTCAATCGTGTTGTCTTGGGGAAAAACTGCGTCAGGCTCTTGCTCGATCTTACAGCAACTTCCAAAGTAGAAGCGGTCGATACATGTGCCCAAGTGAGTTCCATTTGCCTTCGCACAGGTGAATGCGAACATACACACTCCCGTCTCTCCTGTTCTCGTGGATACGCAGGGCAAGTGTCTGATATTTCTTCCACTACCTGAAACAGATTTTCAATATTATTCTTTTCATTCTTAATTAATTCTTTCCATATTTTATCAGTTTTATTAATTCCAACCATTATCAACTAAATCGTTACCATATTAGCGTTAAGCAAAAGTAAATTCAAATCTTAGCATTAAAAAAAAAATAGTAGATTAAATATTATTCAGAAACGGAAACAATTTTTTCAAGATTGTTTTATTTTACGAAAAGAAAACTTCCGTATTTCTTTGAAGGATTTTTCTCAATAGCAATATCTCATTATTTAGAAGTGCATTCTTTATATACGTGCATTCACTGCTGCAGTGAAACAGTTAACACCAGTGGGTTTATTTCGTCTCATGATCGTTCTTTAATCTTACGTTTCATATCTTGATTGCCGACAACTTCTCGGAATAACGTGCAAATTCTAAAGGAAGATAATAATTGTAATTCAATGTCGGAAGAAGTGGAACAACAATTTTCTTCTTATTTCTATAATATCTCAACAGTTTAATGACCAATGGAGGCATAAATATTTGGTGACGATGTTCATTTAACGGAAATGATCATTTCAAGAAAAGTTTCAATTCACAAAACTGTAAAATGATATGGCAATTTAGAAATGTTCCCTTTGCGGTGGAAAAAAAAGATAATAATAATAATTGAATTTTTATACAGAATAAAGAAGTTTTTTGTTTTGGGGGTCGATTTCTTTTGAAACATCTTCTTTAGGTAAACACATGTTTTTTTCTGATTGTCAATTTTCGAGAATAATGATAAAACTTGGTTATGAATCTGTTATTCTCCCCCTTTGTTTGTTGAATTATAAATGTGAGAGAAGGATGAGGCTAATAATTTGAGAAATTAAATTAGGATATTGGATGTTAAGTATGTAGGCGTCTGACAAAGAAAATTGAAAGTCATCCACTTGATCTTTGAGATTGTTGAATAGCATAAGCGCGACAAAAGCCCACGACATTGTTTTCGTTTTTTTTTTCTTTTTTCACCGAGTGAGATGAAATTGAATTCCGTAATGCGAGACATGGGTGTATATATATTGACACATTGTACGCGTATATACAAACGAGAAGTAATGCCAAACGAAGAGCGAATCGATGTCAGCCAGGGCCCAGCATCGAAGTACCGTTAAGTTTCAATGTATGAGCTAGTTGCTTGGTCAAAAGTGGGTCACAGTTACAGCCTAATGTAGCCGGTATACCAGCTATTAGTAGCTTCTCAGCACTAACTTGTCATAATCTCCAAGTCTGCTGGCCGTTATCCCTTTTTTTTCTTCATCCTCCTGTTTTCCTTACCGAATCCTCTCTCGATGCACATTCCAAAGCTCCAACCACCATGAAGTCCAACATGCCTAACCCTAGTTCAAATCCGATATTCATCCGATAAAAATACTTGCGCATTTTTTAAAGAGTAATCTTGCTCTCAAGTGTTTAGCCAGCATGAGCTTGTATTCAGAATTAATTCATGGTAAATTGAAGAGAAGCAATTTTTATTGACCTTGATATTCGTGATGTTCTTTTATTGATATTGCAGAGATAAGTGCAATAAATAATATTATATTAATAATAATAATATAATAATAATAAATAAATAAATAAATAAATAAAGCGACAGAAGAAAAGAATGAAGTCGAAAAAGTTTAATGGCGAAAGGGAAAAAATTAATATCTATTATTACTATTAATATTTCCAGAGTAATTTAAATTTTCTATTAATTTGCAAATTATTAGTTCGAGAGTAGTCGCGAATTGTAATATTGTAATTATCTGAATTCGTAGTTAATTACATGAATTATTTTTTTTCTACGATTTTTTTTCTATGATTTTTTTCCATGATTTTTTTCCATGATGTTTGTTCATGATTTTTTTTCTATACGATTTTTGTTCTTCGAAGAACACAATTGACTTTAAGAGTTTCAGTTCAGCTTCATTTATATATATGTAAAAATTCGTAGCATAAACGTATTGTTTATTTTCTCGTAACTTTTTTTTCTTTTTTTATTCTCTAACGCGTCACAAAATTCTCACTTTGTGCTACAGAATGTATGCTAACGGAAGTATTTTGTATATGTGAGTCATCATGGAAGAAAGTAGTGACAAATGACGCGAGTGTCTTGAGGAATTTTTGCCTCAACCAAAAGTGCGCACTTTTACCTAGATATGATTTGTATGCATAGAGTCACATGAGATCATTTTAGTGAGATTATTATGAATCAAAAGTGGAACCTTATTTATTTACAGTCTACAGACTGGAGAAATTTTTTTTTTATTCATATTCAATTTTTCAGTTGTGAAAAAATTCTTGAATAATATAAAATATAGTTTAGATGACAGTTATGAATTATTAGAAAATATAATTTAAAATTCACTGGCATTCGGAATGTTAACCCTTTCAGGGTCAGTGGGTCGTTTGTTTCGTCACGTCATGAATATGTGGTTCATCTCTGTAAGGAATTGTTTTTTTTTTTGCCAATTTTCATTTCATTTTCTGTTTGAGAAAATGGAAATTTCTAACGAAAAGGAAAATTTTAAGTTCAAGTATCATTGGATAGTAGAATAAAATTGAAAATTTTCGAATTTTAATAATTCAAAAATATGATTTAAAAATAATTTTTTAAAAATTGTCATTAAATTAATTAAATTTTTATTGAATGAATATTAATTTTTCAAAAGTTATTAATTATTAATTACACTGTAAAAATAAAGGTACTAATTTTGGTACTAAATTGCTTCTATTTTGGTTCAATTGGTTCTAAATTTGGTTCTATTTTAAAACCGATCTTGGTACTAAATTGGTTCTATTTTGGTTCAATTGGTTCTAAATTTGTTTCTATTTTAATAACAATTTTGGTACTAAATTGGTTGTATTTTGGTTCAATTGGTTCTAAATTTGGTTCTATTTTAAATTTTAATACCGATCTTGGTACTAAATTGGTTCTATTTTGGTTCAATTGGTTCTAAATTTGCTTCTATTTTAATAACAATTTCGATACTAAATTGATTCTATTTTAGTTCAATTGGTTCTAAATTTGGTTCTATTTTTTAACACCAAAATCAGATTTAATTTAGCATTTTTTTTTTAATTTTAATGTTTTGAAAATTATTATTATATTAATAATTAATTAAAAATTATTATGCAATCAGATATAAATTTAGTAACACACGTAACTTATTTTTTGTTTCTTGACACATAGATACGTAATTAGCCCTTACATAATGATGTTGATAAATTAAACCCACATTTATACTAAACCTGCATAGAAGAAAGGAAATTAGAATAAATTTTTAGTTTAGAGTAGTAAACATTATTTAAATGAATTTTAAGGTCAAAATTCCCATGGTAATAATACTGTCGTGTAATACTTTCGCAAAAACGTAGTTAACATTATTACAATAACTATTTTATGTCTTTTTTGTTTTTTTATTTTTCCACGTCTCACTTTGTACATCTAATTCCTTATTATAATCTCGTATTTCATTCTGTTGAACTACTTTTTTACCAACTACTTCGTTTAAAACAATGTTTATTCCTTATATATATAAAGTGTACGAAAAAATTTATAATTTCTACTAATTACAATTTGGAATTGGTTTACTTCGACATTATAAATAATTAATATTAATTTTAAAAAATAATTCATTTAATTCTTAATTATTACTAATGATTAATTATTAATGGAATCGTTATTAATATTAATTAATATTAATTATTACTAATCATTGATTATTCGTAGAATCATTATTAATTAATTAATCATTATTTAGTTTTAATAAAATTCTTTCAAAGAATTCAACAATTTCAACTATATTTAAAAATAATTGAAAAATAATAATTGAAAATTTAAAAATAATAAAAATTTAAAAAAATTAATTGAAAAAATTCTTATTAGAAATTCAATTATTAATTATCAGTATTTTTAATTGTTATTAATTATTATTTATTACTACTTCTAGTTTATTGATATTGAAAATTGAAATTAGTACTTAAATTTTAATTGATTTGAATTTTTCTTCTCCCCTCTTTTTCTAGAGTTGATAAATCTGTAACTGTAACAAACTCGTCTTCTGGTCGTGAAACGTAAACCTGTTTTTTACTCTTTTTTTTTCTTTTTGCTTATATTTTACGATATTCCTATTTTGGGGGGATTTAACATTTGCATTGAATTTACAATTACATTGATGTTTAATTGTCTTTTTTACTTTAAAGAAAACAATGAAATCTGTACATTTTACAGTTACGCGCCCGCAATCGAGAAGAGACTTTCGAACAGACTTCCGTCATTTGTATAAACTCTCGTGTTATACGGAACATTACACAACCAGTATGACTATATAATTTTTAATTTAAATAATAGTTTTCAATTTCATAATACAAAATTCCCTTTATATTTTGTATGCTCTATTAGACGAAAACGATAATATTCGAAAAATAAAATACTTTGTGGAAAATTGACGACTATATGTTTGTGGAAATAAATTCTTTTGTGTGTATATATTATATAATTTTCAATCAATCAAAGTAAATGATAATTTTTTGTTCGTAATTTATATTGATTATTAGCCATTGTCTCACAATGGAGCTTGTTTGAAATTATTTTCTTGCTGGTATAATCGAAAAGGAGTTTAAATCATTTACGACAAAATTAAATATCTAGTGTATAATTATTGGTTTGTTTCTTTATTATATTTATTGTTTTTTCTCTGCTGGTATATTTAGTTTTTTTTCTTTTCAATAAATTGTTATTATACTAATAGTATTATTTTTTTATAGTTAATTTATGTTATCTGAGATTTAACTAATTGAAAAACTATTTTATTCAATTGACTTAATTTCTTATGTTATATTCAATTAATTGAATTTAATTGTTGATTCAATTAATTGAATTTAATTTTTCATTCAATTAATTGAATTTAATTTTTCATTCAATTAGTTTAATTTATTTTTTTATTTGATTAACTCAATTTAATTTCTTATTCAATTAATAAAATAAAATTTTTTT